CAGGCTGCCGAAGATGGTCATTAGCAACGGCCCGAGCGGTCTCTGACCTTTTTACATGGCCTCAGGGGTCAGTAATTTCTGGATGGGAGTCCTCTGGGAGCTCTTCTGAGACCGGGAAGGGTCTCCACGTGTTGGGGTGGGTGGGGCTTCTGAGGCTCTTCAACCTGCCTGTTTGCAGACAGTGTCTTCTGGTTACTCAGCTGGTCTCTGGCAGCTGCTGTGGTCTCTCTGCTGGCACACAGCAAACCATTTCCAAGCCGGATTTATGGGCTGAAGCTCAATGCATGGTGAGGTACGAAGCTCTCCTCCCCAACTGGCTGTGGAGCAGACAAGGCAACTTCCCCAAGTTTGAAAACCAACTTTGTCTTTCTCTTCCTCCTCCTCCTCCTCTTCTTCTTCATATATTCTCTTAACAAAAAGAATAAAATAACAATAATAATAATAATAATAATAATAATAATAAATTTCTCCATTTAAATTCCAGAGGAAGATGAGGAAGAAATTATCTAACTCACAATATATCAACTAACTGTGTTACTGCCATAGCCCTAGGGCCCAGGGTATGTCGCTGTCCTCATTTTACTGGTGAGAAAACCAGAGTCCAGAGCAGTCAAGCAACTTCCCAAGAATAAACAGCATGCAAGTGTTGGCACTGGGCTTGGACCCCGGTGTGGGTCCAGAGCTGTGACTCTCGCCCCTGGGCAGTGCTGCTGGTCCTGGTGACTGTGACCTTGCAAACAGAAGAAGGGATGAACTCACAAAGGGAAAGCTGCTTCCCTGCAGCATCCTGTGCAGGTAGCCCCACTTTCTGGGCACCCCCGCACCCTGTGAGCAGCTTCTGCTAAGCGTTCTTAGCCTGCGCCCGAGCGAGGCCAGGGAGCTCTGGCCCACCTCTGCCTGCATAACGCTGGCGGGAGCTTGGAGGGGAGGACATAGAAAGGCAAGGCTCAGGGCTGGGGGCTGGGGGAGTGGCTCCAGGAGACCCCCCCCTCCCCGGGAGTGTCAGGAGCGTGGGAGGCCAGGCTGGGCAGGTGGCACCAGCAGGTTGTGAGGCAGTGCCGCTGCAGGGATGCTGAGGAAGCATTCACAGGCGGAGTAGACATCAGCCTTGTCTTCACAGAGCCCAGAGTTGGCCCTGTGCTGTCCCGCACATCACACAAAGACGTTTGTCTATACAAAGCGTATTACAAACCAGGAAGGAAAACAGAGGTGTGGGAGATGACCCCAGGGACGCGCCTCGCCTGTGAGAGGCAGGGCAAACCCCCAGAAGACATGGGGTTCCTGATGCCTGGAGCGAGGGACAAATGCAGTTTGTGGGAGAAACAGAAGCAGAGCAGTGGGCCTGCCAGTGCTGAGCACGGCAGCAGAAGACTAGCAGCTGAGGCCAGGGAGGGGGCGGGGCAGGCTCTGCAGGGCCTGGGACACCATGGGGAGGTCTCCTGGCAGGGGAACATCACTTAAGGGTTTTAAGGAGGGACAACTTGGGGGGGGAGGCGAGGCCACAGATCCAGTGCAGGGGTTGACATGTGGACAACGTGCCCCCTCCTGTATTGCCATGAGTTCATCTCTCTCTCTCTCTCTTTTTTTTTTTTTGACAAGGCAGAGTGGACAGTGAGAGAGAGAGACAGAGAGAAAGGTCTTCCTTTGCCGTTGGTTCACCCTCCAATGGCCACCGCGGCCGGCGCGCTGCGACCGGCGCACCGCACTGATCCGATGGCAGGAGCCAGGTACATATCCTGGTCTCCCATGGGGTGCAGGGCTCAAGTACTTGGGCCATCCTCCACTGCACTCCCTGGCCACAGCAGAGAGCTGGCCTAGAAGAGGGGCAACCGGGACAGAATCCGGTGCCCCGACCGGGACTAGAACCCAGTGTGCCAGTGCTGCAAGACAGAGGATTAGCCTAGTGAACTGCGGCGCCGGCCAGTTCATCCCTCTTGCACATGGCAGCCTGGGATGCAATGGATTACTGTGGATATGGCTTTATATATTTCTCATTTTAACCCCAGAACACTAGACCCTAACACATGCTGTGCTCCTTTTTTAATTTTAATTTTTAAAGAATATTTGTTTGTTTGAAAGGCTGACACAGAGAGGGGGAGAGACACAGAGAGGTCTTCCATCTACTGGTTCATTCCCCAAATAGTTAAGTCTGGGCCAGGCAGAAGCCAGGAGCCAGGAACTCCATCTGGGTCTCTCACATAGATGGCAGGGGCTCAACTATTTGGGCCATCTTCTGTTGCTTCCTCAGGCTCATTAGCAGGGAGCTGGATCAGAAGTAGAGCAGGCAAGACTCGAACCTGCCTTCCAGTATAGGCTGCTGGATTAACCCATTGCACATCACTGGCCCAGGGCTGTGCTCCTGAGGCACTGTCAGGGCGTTTCTCCTGGGCCTCAGGCAGGACTCAGGTTTAACTGTGAGTGTGGGGAGCTCAGGGCAACCGAGGAGAGGGCCAGATGGCACTGTCCTTCCTGGCAAGGCTCGTGCTGGGGCTTCTGCCCTCAGCTGCTCCTCCTAGTGCTGAGTACACTACCCAGGAAGGAGTTCAGGTAGTGGGAGAGGCTGGCTGTATAGCTGGGATGTGGTCTGTGTGTTCACAGGCAGGCTTGGACTCTCTTGGAGTTTGGCCAGTGTGGGCTGTGTGTTTCCAGCACTCCCATGAAGGGTGTGGTTCCACCGCTGGACCTTTCTCTGCTATTCTGGAGAAGAGTCAACAAGTGCTCATCTTTTTGCTTCACCCAAAGGGCCTGCAAATACATTTGAAACAGAGCATGTCATCAGACCTTCCCCAAACCTCTTTGAGTCTGGTGTGATTATATGGCCAACTGTAGCATTCCTGGTGGCCAGATGTGTGCTCATGACCTCACTGTACGTCGTGGTACAGTGTGTGGATAGTCACACCCTCCACACGGCTGATAAAGAGCCTCTAGAGTGCCCAGGCCTCTGCTATGCAGGGGAGGGGCACTAGGAGTGGACTTGGCTCTCAAGGCCCCTGTGGTCTAGGTATCGGTTATTGAACAGGAGCTCATGGATTCTAACAGCCCGCTTGTTGTTCTCTACTTTTCTTTTTTTAATTATTTGACAGGTAGAGTTATAGGCAGTGAGAGAGAGAGACAGAGAGAAAGGTCTTCCTTCCATTGGTTCACTCCCCAAATGACTGCTATGGCCGAAACTATGCCGATCTGAAGCCTGAAGCCAGGAGCCAGGAGCTTCTTCCTGGTTTCCCATGCGGGCGCAGGGGCCCAAGCACTTGGGCCATCCTCCACTGCCTTCCTGGGCCACAGCAGAGAGCTGGACTGGAAGAGAAGCAGCTGGGACTAGAACCTGGCGCCCATATGGGATGCCGGCGCCACAGGCGGAGGATTAACCAAGTGAGCCATGGTGCCAGCCTCTGTTCTCTACTTGTGTTCTATAGTTGTTAACAAGGGGTTCAGGGATAAAGCGTTCATGGTCAGAGAGAGAGAGAGAGAGAGAGAGAGGAGATCCCTTCCATTCGTTCACTCTCCAAATGCCTCCAGTGGCAGAGCCAGGAACTCAATCCAAGTCTCCCATACAGGTAGGAGGAACCCAAACACTTGATCCATCACCTGCTGCCTCCCAGGGTCTTCATTAGCAGGAAGCTGGAATCAGAAATGGAGCTGGGAATCAAACCCAGGCACTCTGATGTGGGATGCAGGCATTTTTACCAGTGCTAGGCCAAACACCTTCCCCTCAGTCAAATTTGGAAGCTGCTTTATCCTTTGTACTCTCATCTGGTTATTGATTTCTGTGTAACAAGATACTATAAAACTTAGCAGCTTAAAACCAACAGCATAGTACTGTTATCTGTTATAGTTCCATATGCTGACTGGGCTCAGCCCAGTGGTTCTCACTTGGGGTCTCTCAGGCAAGTACTTACTTCTGTCTCTGTCAACTAGAGTCAGTTGACAGCTGGGGCTAGACTCAACGTGAAGGCTTCTACACTCATGTGTTTCTGTGCCTGGGTGGGCTGGGGGTGTCTCTTTCCACATGGTTTTGCCACCTGCTAACTTGGGCTTCCTCACAGTATGGCAGCCTCATGGTTGTGGTTGCTAAGCTTCCTATCTGGTGGCCGGTTTCCCCCAGGGCGAGTATAGCAAGAGGCCTAGGTGGAAGCCTCAAGGCTCTGTCTGACCTGTCTTCCAAGTCCCCAGACCCTGCTTCCACAGCAAGTTACGGAGGCCAAGCTAGATTCAAGCAGGAGGAAATCAGACTCTGCAGCTGTGGGCGGGGCAAATAATCTGTAGCTGTCTCCAGTTTACTGTGCCTCCTGGAGTTCGCGAGGCCTAAGAATGTGCCAATGGTATCCGAGAAGTCCGGTGCTAAAGAGATCTGTTTCACTCGGCATTCTCCAAGCTGATTATTATTGCTGTTTTTTTAAAATCAGGAAACCCTTTTCTTATGGAAAAAAAATCATTTGTTTTCTTCCAGAGAGCAGATTTGGGGCTCAATACAATTAGCTGATGAGTAACACTTTTCAAAGATGAAATTTGGTTTCTGATTTGAGGAAGCACCCAAATAGAGGTGGTGTGACCATTTGCAAGGAGGGAGACGCCAAGTGTCCTAGAAGTTAAAGGTTTGATTACACTTCTGGGAGATCTAGGTTCAAATTCAACCTCCCCCACTTCCAGATATGTGACACTGGGCAGGCCTCCACTCTCCTGGCTCTGGCTCCCTCAGCTACGTACTGGTTTCTACTTCAGAGGGTTGCTGTGAGGACTAAGGGGATCCCGTCTGTGAATTTCTTGGCACAGTGCCTGTTAACGGTCCCTGAGACATTGTTGGGCTTATGATGCATGGACAGTGCCTTCCTTGGTGAGACTCTGTGGCTGCAGAGCCCCCTTCACCTCTAAGGTTTTATAACTTTGGGTTTATTTGGGACTTGTTTTCCTAAGGGCCAACCAGTCCTATAAGTCATGGACTTTCCCCTACTTTTCTTGGCAAAAGTAACCTCTCTACCCTTTCACTTTTTTTTTCCAACCAGTTCCTAATAAGTGACCGTGATCCTCAATGCAACCTTCACTGCTCCAGGACTCAGCCCAAACCCATCTGTGCCTCTGACGGCAGGTCCTATGAGTCCATGTGCGAGTACCAGCGAGCCAAGTGCCGAGACCCAAACCTGGGTGTAGTCCATCGAGGGAGATGCAAAGGTGAGTGTGCACCTGCGTATGGCCTAGGAGAGGCTCCTGGCATCACTTTCAGCAAATCCCCTTCCCCCACCCGCTCCCCGGAGCTCCAGATGAGTTGGTTCATTTGGTTTGCTCACCCATCCTGCCTCTCTGCCCCTTCCTCCTGGGTGTAGAGGAAGGAGAACTGGCCTATACCTAGGCAGAGGTGGGGACCATATGGGCCATGGGCTGTGTAAGGCCCACAAAATCATTTGGTCTGGCCCTGCCAAGGCAACCACAGGCAGGACTCTAAATACCCTAAGTCTATAGCAGGCTAATTTTTAAGTGGTTAATTTTGTATGGCCCACGAATGATGTTACAAATCTCCAAATGGCAGAATAAAGGTTCCCCACCCCTGAAGGGATGAGCACTTCTCTGTCTTTCAGATGCTCCCACCAGGCAAGAGCTGAGAGCCTCCTGCTGCCATCTGTCTGGTGCTTTGTTTGTTTGTCTGTTTTCTCGATGGAGTTGTAAGCATTACTGCTGGCTCCTGAACAGGGATTTCAAGTTGTTGGCCAACAGATGTATTTTGTTGGATCTGCTCACATGTCTAAAAATGTGAAGAACATTTGAGAACACATTTAAAAATTGGGAGATTCCACATGAAAATCTGGCCAGTTGCACCTCTCTTCCAAAATCGGAAGTCCTGGTAATTTTTGGTCTATGTTTCTGCAAAGCCTGTACCTATCTATGGCTGCACCTGGGTCATAGTCTCTCCCAGAGGAGCCTGTTTTCCGGTTTGCCACAGTCCTCAGCACTCCTGGTAGTATCTCAGCCATGCCTCTCTAATTTACATCAGCTTCCTTAGTCCTGTAGAGACTTGTGTCTGTGCCTCTGGATTGCTAGAGCCATCGCAAAAGTTGTAGGAGGCTCAGCAGGCAGCCTGGGAGCCTTTGACTTTATGAAGAAAGTGCTTGTGATTCTTGAATGACAAACCATCTTTGAGACCCCTCGGGCCTACTAGTTTTAGAATAAACTCAGTAAAAAACAATGGAAGTGAAACTTTTTTTTTTCCTAGATGAGGGTGGGGGCACTTGGGACACAAAATAAGCAGAACCTGATATAAACCATGAACCCCATCGCCCACTTTTCTGAGAATCACCTTAAGGGGAAGAGGAGGCTGTGTGTGTGTGAGGTGGGGTTGGGGGGGTGTGAGTTGAGGGCTTCCGGGAGGTGGAGTGGTTTCCTCTCATGGGGCAGCCATTTTGTCCAGGCCTTAGCGAGGAACCCGAGTGCAACGAGAAAGACGCCCCTCTCACCTTGCAGATGCCGGCCAGAGCAAGTGTCGCCTGGAGCGGGCTCAAGCCCTGGAGCAGGCCAAGAAGCCGCAGGAGGCCGTGTTTGTCCCAGAGTGTGGCGAGGATGGCTCCTTTACCCAGGTGAGGCCTTGGATAGTTCTCTGAGCGCTGCTTCTGGGACAGAGGAGAGGGGAGGTGTCCCCGGGGGCGTGGAGGGCCGCTTGGCACCTTTGCTTTCTGGGACACAGCTCCCCTGTGCTGCTTCCCCGCCCCGTGGCCCCCCATGCCACCTCCTGCCAGCTGGCAGTGGGCCCTGAGAAGACTTGTGCAAGTCTGCAAGTCTGAGCCAGGAAACTGGCATTGCTGGGTGCCCGTCTTCCCTGCTGGCTGTCTCTGCCCAGGGCCAGACCTGCATTTTTCTCTTCTGTCAAATGTGGGCTGATTATTTTTTCTTATCCATGCCAGTTTCCATGGGCAACCCTGGTATTCCCGTCTCTGTTTATTGCTGGCCCCCTGCATCCTCTGGCTTGTTACTCCCTGTCCTTGAGTGCAGTGGAGTCGGTCCTCTTAGAGTACTGAGTGTACCAGAGGTCTCCGTGTGTGTGTGTGTGTGTGTGTGTGTACACGCGAGAGAGAGCGGGGGAGGGGGAAGGGGAGGGGAGAGGGAGGAGAGGAGGAGGGGAGGGAAGCCGGGAGAGGGACCAGGCTCAGACTCTAAAGTCTCTTTTTAGGCAGTCCCACCTCTCATCCTGCATGGTCTCCTGGTTAGTACTTTGTGTAAACCACACTGATGTTGGCATGAACTGTTTCTGAAACAGGGCATCATTGGGACAACAAAGTGCTCCTTAGGGAAACTTCTAGACTGTCCCTTTTCGCATAAGGGCTTGTGCTGGGGGTGGGGCTGTAGTCTGGGAGGCAGGAGGCTTCTGGCGCTGGCTGATGAAGGTTCTGTCTGGATGGCAGTGGGGAAGGTCACTGGACGAGGGTGAACTCAGCCAGGTGATTGGTAACGTCCTGGTGCCACTCCCAGTGGAGTGGCATTTCGGGGATCTCATTGTCTGGGGACAATGGCTTCAGGAGTTTTGATGCTTCTCTATTAATTCTGATTTAGTGGGACAAAGAGTATGGGCAGCCTTTGGTCCAAGGGGTTTTAGGCTTTGTTTCTGGGCTGGGCGTGGGGTTGCTGTTCAGACCGAATGTCTGTTGGGGTAGAGCTGTGGAGGGGGTTGGGCAGGTATCACACAGCAGTGCTTTATTTATTTATTTATTTATTTTTAAGCTTTATTTTACTTGCAAGTCAGAGCTACACAGAGAGAAGGAAAGGCAGAGAGAGAGAGAGAGAGAGAGAGAGAGAGGTCTTCTATTCTGCTGGTTCACTCCCCAGTTGGCTGCAACGGCCAGAGCTGCGCCGATCTGAAGCCAGGAGCCAGGAGCTTCTTCTGGGTCTCCCACGTGGGCACAGGGGCCCAAGGACTTGGGCCATCTCCCACTGCTTTCCCACGCCATAGCAGAGAGCTTGATTGGAAGTGGAGCAGCCGGGTCTTGAACCAGCACCCATATGGGATGCTGGCTCTGCAAGTGGTACCTTTACCTGCTGCGCCACAGCGCCAGCCCCAACAGCAGCATTTTCAATGTCTCCTGTTTGATTAAAATGTTCAGCTAGGCTTGAGAGCCACTGGGTTAAACAGACTTGGCTGGGAAAGGTGTCTTTTTAATTTGCTTTCTTGTTTAAACTGTCCCACAAGCCAGAGGGTGAGGGAGGTGTCATTATTAACATGCGCAGTTGAAGGACCAACAGAGGGACATGGAGTAGCCAAGCTAGGGTTCAACTCAAGATCCCTCCCAAGTCCTCCATATTCTGCTGTTCTCTGAACTGGTGGCTTTGCAGGAGGCCCTGAGGTGTGCACTGGTAGGAGGTAGTGTGGTGCTATGGTTAGCACCTGGCTGCTGGAGTCAAACCAGGGCCTATGTGTGAAGGCCTGTCCCTACCACCGAGGGTGAGTCCCTGAGCCTCCTTGTCTGGGAGATGAAGATGCTTGTCCCCATTCATCATCATTATTATATATAATAATAATCATTATGATACCTACTTATGTGTATGTTTGTTGCGCATTATTGCATATTACTGTTATGAACTTATTGTTGTAGCTTTCCTCGTAAGGCTGTGGTGAGGATTAGTGAGTTAACACATGTGAAGCACTTGGGACTCACAGCTGCTCTGTAGACAGCTGCCATTAATGCTGTCCTGACTCCCAGCCCCACAGTGGCCCCACCACTTGCATCTTCCTGAGATTTTGTGGACGATACCACTTAAGGTGAAAAAACATAAAACCAAAACCTTTTGTTGAAACTTGGTAAGTTTGCAAACCAATGAGCTCTCTCATCTGTCCTTTATTTGTGATTTGTTCTAGTGAAAAGAACATGATGGATGATCTTTGTATGCATTTGAGACTGCACTGTTGAGCACTCGTGTCTGGGGAGGGGGAAGCAAACCTCGCCCAGGCTCTTTTGGGGCCGAGACAGGGTAAAGGCGGTGTTGGAGAGGAGGACGAAGCCAATGGGAGGCATTTTTTTTTCTTTCTCTGGGCTTGTGTAATCCTGGGTGTGTTGCTGATGAGAACGGTTGACCCCGGCCCCCCACCCCTCACTCCCCCTCAGTTCCAAAGTGTTTGCCACCTCGTGACAGACAGCCCACTCTGGCCAGCCTTTGTTTAGGCGAGATCAGGCTGGACCAGGTGGTGTTTGCTGGGGGAAAGGAACTTCCAGATTAGTCCAGCCTGAATTGCTAAATGAGAGGGCCCCTGAAGTTCAGCAAAGGTTGTATAGACAATCAGGCACCTCCTTGTTAGTTTGACATGCTAAGCACTGCCATGTGTCCGCAGGCTCAGGGCTGGCTCACCCCGGTGGGCAGCCAGACAGCCAGACAGCAGGCCCACACCAGCTACACTGATCGAAATGGATGTGTCTTTCCCCTGATCAAAGGCACGGCAATCACTTCACAAGCTGAGGCTGCCTCTTCGCGTGTGCTTCAGTCACATGGACAGGCTTCCAAGATGCTGTGAAACAAAGGGGGATGCTCTCCCCCTCCCCCTGACCTCCACCATCACTTAGCTGAACACTTTTTGTTTTCAAGACCAAAACTCAGAGACAAGCTACACTGCTTTAATATCCTGTAGAATACTGACACGCACACATCCTGGTGTTCATAACAAGTTCTTTAGCCTTGGGAATTATTATCCATAACACCCTCGCAAGGTTGTGATGGGATGCTAATGGGATTGGAATTGTCTGGCATGGGGCGCAGCTTGCGACCACATGACTCAGTTGGCTTTAATGGGGTTCATGTGGGACTCTAGGGCTTCTGTTCTCTTCCTTTGTCTTCCCTTAGCCTCTTCCCTCCCTGTTCCCACACACAAGAGGGGCTCTCCCTTCTACATTATAACGCCAGGGCTGCACAGTAAGTCACATGAGATTTTTGAAAGTCTCAGTACATGGGCCACATCCCAGACCATTAAATCAAATTCTGGGAGTGGGATCCAAGACACTGTATTTTTTAGAGCTCCCCAGGTGACACCAGTGTTTGGCTACAGTTGTGAGCCTCTGTTGGAAGGACTTTGCCACGCTTGTTTCTTGATTCCGTCATTGGAATGTGGAGCAAAGGCTCTTTGATGACCTGGGGAGTAAGGCCAGGAGTTACAGCTTTGCCCTTTGCTGTCTTAGATTCTTTCTCTTCTGAGTCTCAGGAACACAATTCCTGGCATCTGCTCTACCAAGTCTCCTGCCAGGCGGTTGTCTGGTGCCCAAACTGATGAACTGGAATCTCAGTTGTGGTGCAAAGGTGTTGGATTGCTACCATCAGGAAATGCTGGCTGGAGCTAGCTTGTCAAGCGCGTGTATCACTGCATGATAATGATGTGGCTCTTGACTGGGTGCCACTAGGTGCAAGACAGAATTTCACACCCATTAATCTTCACGGGAACCTTTTGAGGTCATTATTAATACCATTATTATAAAGGGGAACTGAGTTTCTGAGGAGCTGAAAAGCTGATTTGAGGTCACTAAGCTAGAAAGGATTTGTGCTGAAGCCTTTGTGACTTTAAGGCCTGTGCTCTTAACTTTTTTTGTGTGCTACGAAAGAGTCCTTGATGCATATGTATTTCATTTTCATCACCATTGTTATTCCAGAAGTTCTTCTGATGCTGTTACCCAATCAATCCAACCCACATTAAAAAATATCTTTTGATTATAGAAAATTTTAAAAAGACAAAAAAAAAAAGCAGAAATAAAGCATAACGGACTCCATGTACTCATCACCCGGCTTCAATAATGACTGACACGTGACCAGTTCTGTTTCATCTTTACCCCATTTTCATCTTCCACCCCAAACCGGACTGCTTCAAAGAAAATCCCCAGGCACAGGATTTTTTCATCCCAAACATGTTCCACTATGTTCTGGGTTGTGTGCTGGTTGCTACTGGAGAATTATAAAACACAGTGTCCTCTGCCTTGAAGGAGTTTATATGCAGAAAGAATATCGAGATATATTATAGAGTGACAGTATCAAGGACCATACATTTGCATTTACAATTGTAGTACCTATTTCTCTCTCCTTCCTTCCTTCCTTCCTTCCTTCCTTCCTTCCTTCCTTCCTTCCTTCCTTTTTTTTTTTTTTTTTTTTTAACAGGCAGAGTGGAATAGTGAGAGAGAGAGACAGAGAGGAATTCCCTTGGCGTGGGCACCACAGCCAGCATGCTGCGGCCGGTGCACTGCGCTGATCCGAAGCCAGGAGCCAGGTGCTTCTCCTGGACTCCCCATGGGGGTGCAGGGTCTAGCACTTGTGCATACTCCACTGCACTCCCTGGGCCAAGCAGACAGCTGGCCTGGAAGAAGGGCAACCGGGACAGAATCAGTGCCGCGAACCGGGACTAGAACCTGGTGTACCGGCTACGCAAGACGGAGAATAGCCTGTCGAGACGCGCGCGCCGGCCTTTTTTTATTTTTTTTTTTTTTTTTACAGCCTTCCTCTCTTTCTTTCCTTCTTTCTTTCTACGATTTTCTTTCTTTCCTTCCTTCCTTCCTTCCTTCCTTCCTTCCTTCCTTCCTTCCTTCCTTCCTTCCTTCCTTCCTTCCTTCCTTCCTTC